TTATGCGATCGTATTTGGTTTTATCCCAACAGTGGAGTAACTACCCAGGCTAAATAAAGTGTCTTTCCAGATCACGGGCAGCTTTAATACCATGCACTTAAATGTATTCTTGTTAAGTAGTAAGTTCCCTTATTAACCATTGCTTTATTATCCTTTCTCCCAATGTGTGTGAATTTATCTATAAAAAAAAGCCAATGAAACTTCTGCCAGTGCTGATAAGTTTATATGGTTTCTTACGTCGTGTTGTTGCGTCCTTTAGACGGGCGGAATCGTGGCGGTGACAGATCTTTCTCACGGCCGCCCAGTAAATTGCCTCAGGGCAGTCTCATAAAAGCCTACGCGCCCGCCGTGAACGATAAATGATGACAAGGACTCTTCATAATCTTCTAAAGCAGATCATTGTTTTCCATCGTCTGAGCCCAAAATGACAAAACGTACGTTTGTACGCACTGTGAAACTACCGGTCCAAATAATAACCTCGGAGCTGCCATGGATATTATTTGGGATGCCCCCCCCACCTCACCACCACCACTTCACCGATCTGCACTGACAAACGTGGCGAAGTATAGTCACGCAATCCCCATTACCAATAGGGCATGGGGAGTAATGGATTTATCAAGTCCTGCAAATGATAATTACTGTTTTATAATAATTAAACCAGATAACTGACTTTGAAGATGAACTCTGACAATCTAAACTGGGGACCCTGATCTTGTAAATGTCTTCAATTGAAACATTTATACTCAATAAGCCTTTTTCCTTGCGCGTGCTGTGTGCTTGGGTGAACATATTTATTTGTGGGTGTGTGAGCTGAGCATGTTGTTTGTAATTGTGAACAGCCTTCCGCCGGTCGCGGTGTATATTACAAAGTGATCGCTTCATTGTTTTCAGAGCAAGGGCCCTCCTTTTGTCAAATGGGCCTGGCATACGGAAGCATCTGTTTCCCGCTTCCAGGAGGATATGAGAGCGAAATATGAGGCTGCTGGGAGCTGGGTTATTGGGTTCCGAAACCAGATGCTCGCAGCCATATGGCTCACGTCTGGGAGAGAGCCAGAATCACATTAATATTACATGACTAAAATAATGACAAGGTGGGGGAATAAAAAAAAATAAAGTGTATCTCTTGTGTTTATGTCTCGTGTCTGGTCTGCGGCATTACAATAAGCAGGAACTAAGAGCTGAAACAAACTTTAAGTATACTTTGAGGCAGGGCAGCTGTTCTCAGTGGTGCATGCGTGTACAGTGCTCATGTAAGGGTACGGGCTAGAGGGCACGTGGTTAAATAGCTGACTGTTTAGCAGTTCTGTCCTACGTGTCGCTCAGAAGCAACAATGAATTTGAAGTGGCTTCCCATTTATGGGTGTTGGCTCCTGCCCTGCTTACAGTGATGCAAATTCCACATTCCCATGACAGGGCTGAGATAACCCACGGGACAACCATCATTGACGTCCCACAAAGTAGTGCTCATTTTTTTGACCCTGAAGAAGGGGTCAGTCGATCTCCAGCTGGAAGTGAAGCTCGGCAAATGTGTTTTTTTACTATACTTCACTGTGTTAGTCGGTGCAAGTTGTTGGAAAAGGGGAGCCTAAGACCAGTTCATATATCGCTTGCCACTGCTGACCACAGACCGGAATAGAACTCAGGTGGCCAGCCGGGTTCGTTACTTCCTGTGCTAACCACTGTGCTACAACTTCTCCCAGAGAGCAGTTAATAAGTACAGCACTCGGAATATTTAATGAATGAAACTTTATACCTTTTTTGACCAACATTTCTCTCAATACTAAATAAAAAAAATACACACGCACTCACCTCTGTGTACAAAGTTAAGTCGCACAACTTTTATTTCGGATGGTGTATCAGATACATTTCATAAGTATTTTTTTTATTTCAGTCAATACTTGTGGAAAAGTTGTATGTGTGTGTGTGCATTATTAATGACAGGTTAATTACAAGTGCTCATCTCATGTACGATTCCAGGAGTTAACACAAGTTGTTCCAAGCAGGGAGAGAGTACATTTTTGAGCCAAACTGATGAAAGGCAATACCTAACACACTATTGATTTTCCATACATATTGCACGTACATGCTGGACACTACAGTGGGGTATTACGAGTGGGTATTGACTAACATTAGAGGCCAATGTATGTCTTTATTATTACACCAAATAAGAGTGGGTGTTATTTGATCCCGTGATCCACACGACAAGGGATAACACTCATTCAGTAGTGGGGTAATGAAGGGCTGTACGTGTTGTGATGTAATTGAGTTCTTCATTAAAGTTTTTTTTTAGCAACTAAGCAATCCTGACGAACATCAGTAATTTGTATTATATTAAACGTGCAGAAAATATGCCGAGTGATTGCTGCGTGCCTTCAAAACGAGTGCATTCCAGGGGTGGAAAACCCGATTTTTTTGCCCGACAAATCGGGTTATTGGTTTTAATGGAATTAAACCCGATTTTGCCGATTAAAACCTGGTTTTATTATCGGCGTCTCGTGCACACTTCAATCCTGCTCCTCGTCGTCGTCCGCCGCCGCGTCGTCTTCGTCGTCGCTCTCGCCGCTGGACTTGGTGTTGTTGCCGTCGCCGGGCGTCGGGTAGTCGTGGAATGCGTTGAGGTTCGACTTAATGAAGACGAGCTTCTCGACTGTGTTGGGCGCCAGGCTGTTCCTCAACTTGGAATGGATAAATCCCATCGTCGAGAAGTTTCGCTCAGACGCAGCGGCGGTCGACGTGGCCACGCTGAACAGTTTGATGGCTGATCTTCTGGAGCTGCGGGATAGTCGCCTCCGACGAGTGGCGAACTGACGACGAAGGCCTGGGCGAGGGCCGAACGCACCGCGTGGCTCGCGCGCATGGCGGCTGAGCCCGGGCCCCGGCCCGAACGCCGCTAATGGGGTGCGTGCGACTGAAATCCCGACTTAACTTTAATAACACCGAGTAAAAACGGATTTGGGCAGGATCCAGGTGCTCCGGTTTTATATAAAAAACGATTAAAACCCGAATGAATAAAACCGGGCCGTGCCAGCCTTGGTGCATTCACATCGGTGTTTCAACTTTTGATCGTTTCTCATTTGAAAATATTCCAACCCCTATTTACGATATCAAATAATAATAATGTACGTACGTTGGCATTTGAAAGCCTACTTAAAAAAAAAAACCCACCGGTATTTCTCATCAGAGCTGCATGCAAACAATTGGCAATAAAATAATAATAACAACATGCTCTCAGGTCTTCAGAGGGGACCCGCCTTGTCTCCAGGTAAAACACGAACATTTTTTTTTTTGGCGCGTGCTCGCTCGCTCGCTCCCCACCGGTCGTGGGCAGTTACCGGAGCCCTCGCCGGTGCCACTCAAAACGAGGGCCCCGCCACCGCCCCGCCGATATCCGGTCGCGTGTCACCGCCACGGCGCTGACGTCAACGGCTCCCCCGAGCGTCGCCCTCACCGGTTCCGCGTGCGTGCAGTCGCCAGCGGACGCCAATCACGCACCGCTCTGAACCCCCTCCCAGCAGATTTACAGAACACAACGTGCTCCGGAGCCTCACCCCTCGCAGAGCCTCACCCAATCCTCAACCGTGTGTAATTTATTTTCTGGCTTCAAAACCCCAGCCTTGTTTAAGACTGGCTTAAAATTGCACTGGGGGTTTGGGGGGAGGGGGCGTGTATGTGGGCCGTGTTGGTTTCTCCGGAAAGTTTCAACAACGGGTGTTCACAGTCACGGCACAATGCACCTCTATTCCCCAAGTCTGATGTCCTCCAGGCCACGCGGCTAAGAGCGACAGTGCCAATGGCGGAAGAGAGGAAATAAAAATAAGAAATTGGGTCAGTGGGCGATCGGTTTTGTAGAAACTCTATGGCATTTAACATTTAGCTCAGTGCACAAAGCATTTAATGTGGTAAATCGGTCAACCTTAAACAGGCGAGTAATTTGTTGGTATTTTAATGTCACGATCCCGGTCGCCTTTTGTGCAGTGCATATTTTGGGCGGCGCAAAACATCAAGCGTTTAAAACGAGCTTCGTTCATGCTCCAGGAGGGATTTTGCAAACCTTTGAAAAGCCCCAGTGGGTTTGGCAAACATTACAGAAATGGTTCAACTATGAAAACCGCAAACTCGGTTGTCATGCCACACACATTTTTATACCTGTGTGGACCTGCTCACAGATGGGAGCCGACCATTTTGGTGTTGCCTCAAGGTGGCCGTTATATCTCGGCGCGTGCTGCCGTTGATTTCCATGTTCAGAAGTCACCTCCCTGCTTTTGTTCCCCGGTTTGGCTTTTGGCTGGGCCCGGAATATGTAACGTAAATAAATAACGATTATACTAACAAAAACAATCGCTTTTGCTAGATATTGAGCATAATAATAACGTTACAGGTGTCGCTGTTATGACTTAAAATTGCCGTATCAATATCTTATGAGTGCTGAAAGATGATAAACGTGCAGCCTTGTAATATCTTGCTCATGCACTGCTGGTGGGAAGGGGCTCCACTAGAAGGAGCTCTAGAGAGAGCCCCTCTTGAAGATTTTCTGTCATACTTCCACGCAGGAACAGGTGGAAGTACCTACACGCGATGCGACCTGCAGATAGACTTAAGCGTGGTACGCCCATTTATACTGCTGAGTGGACAGAGGTGCGGGAATTTTAAGAAACTTTCCCATGCCGGGATCTCGAACCGGCGACCTCTGGATTGCAAGTTCCATGTGCAAACCGTAACACCATGGCAGCATTCCTTCTGCCAAAGCTAATTGCACGATTAGCGTGATTTAAATGATCGGCCTTGACATCGGTGATGAAATACGCAATTAATGAAAGCCAACTTGCAAATGGAACCCGAGCCACGAATCGAGCCACGAATCGAGCCCACACTGTGCCACCCCCCCCCCCGGCCCCCACCGCCACCCCCCCTTGTGCCAGCCCGTCCAAGGCTGCCAGCGAGCGTGTGGCCAGCGAGCGTGTGGCCACCAATGACAATGCCACGTCTCCTCCCCCCTGCAGGATGGCAAGGTGGAGCAGGTGCAGAGCCAGGTGCTGTCGCGGGAGGAGATCGAGCAGAAGATCAAGCTGTACAACCTGCGCAGCAGCAGCAAGACCAGCATGGTGCAGGTGAGACGAGGCCCTGCACCTGTCCCGACACGCCCCCCACCCCATCCACACGTGCGTGCGATCCAAGCACCACGCCGCGTTTATTTGCGAACGGCCCGCGGCCATGGTGCATGGTTACAAGGCGATAACTTCACCGTGGGGTTTTTTTTTTAATGTTTATGTCTCACATGTGGGTCGTCTCCCAAGCATCGCACGTCGTCCACCGTGTGTTTCACATCAGAAGTACTGATTCAGAATGAGAATCAGAATCTTTATACTGGAGGAATCCGATGAGAATTGTTTCTTTTATAGGACACAGCAAGACCTCCCAAATACTGCTCTCATACAATTGTTTTTTTTTTGAAAACACAAAGATTCCTCCAAATCAATGCACACATACAACCACAAGGAAAACATTAACACAGCGTATCATTACCACCTCCACTTATCCGTCGGTCTCACGCTGCCACTAAGCAATCTCCCGACCACCGTTCGGCCACTTGTATTTTATCGACCTGCGAACTTAGGAACTCTGGCGTTGCGGCACAAGGCTTGGGTCCCTTGTGAGCTCGTACCCAGGGTAACAACCAGAGTGAGGACTTAAGTTTGCATCCAAAATCCCTTCCTATGATTCCCGAGATGAAATAAAGTACAGTCATCAACGTATGATCTTAACCCGGTCATCAATGTGAACATACACAAAAAGCCGTATAATTTTATGAGATTTTTCCATGTTATTTTCTCTGGCTCGAAGTTGACGCGAAAAAAAAGACCATATGCGCAATAATATATTTAAGCTCTGTGAACACTTATTAAAATATTCAGAGTTATCCTATCAGCGGCAACTCTGCTCATAATTGCCGTAATAAATGTTCGCCAGTGACATTATGCCACGCACGCTAAAGCAGAAAGGCGCGAGGTTTTAACAAAAGATCATCGAACGGCGTTTGAAGTCACGGCACCATCATTACAAGCTACAACCAACATTAGTCACGTAATTACGTGATCTCATCGGAGTGTTTGCTTGAAATGTTAAATTGCTTTCCCTATAAATTGGAATAGTTAATTACTATTTTCTAATCATTCGAATAGTTAAACAACAGCCCTTTGTCAAGGCCTCGCTGGATGTGGATTGAAGGGAGTTTCCAGCCTTCGTGAGGCGGGATATCATTGGAACCGTTATTTTTTAAAAAGTGAGCTGAGTAATTGACCACACACAAATACAAACAAAACAACTCGACACATTCGTCAGTAACGGTAACCCTATAGAGAAACAAAAATATGATGGGGAACATTTTTGGCAATGGCCCTTTTGCAGTTTTATTGCCATGTTGAGTTTTGTGTTATTGATACTTTTGTGCACTGCTGTCAATGCCAATGCAGACCCTGACACCTGTATATTTAGAGTTTGCGTGTTCTCCCCATGGTCACGTGGATTTTTTTCCAAGTCCTCTGGTTTTTCCTTCCACATTTAGAATAAATGTGCGTTTAGAGTAATTGGCTGCTATACATTTCCACATGTTAAGCCACTTCGTTGAGCTATCGTTTGTGGCCAGGTCGCTTATGTAAAAGAGCCAATATTTCAGGAGGCCTTACCTGGGAAAAACATAGTTTAGTATCACAATAAAAGTGTATATTTTTAAGACAAAGTAGTCAAATGCAATATTTCATCAATAAATTGACTGTTTTTTTTAAAGGTTGTAACACGATATTAGTTTCATCATCGCCTTACCGACCTTCTCTCCGTTGGCACGTTGCGCCCGCCCGCAGCAGGAGAACGGGACGTTCACGGGCTTCATCAAGGTGCAGCTCAACCTGCAGAGGCCCGTCTCCGTGGCGGACGACGGGCGGGCCCACAATGCACTGCTGCAGCCCGTGGCGACGCCCGGCCCGGCGGGGGGTGGCGGCGGCACGTGCGAGAGCACGGCGAGACGCACGACCTTCTACCTGCCACGCGGCACCGAGAAGCAGGTGCACCTGAGCAGCACCAACACGGCGCGCGAGGTGATCGAGGCGCTGCTCCGCAAGTTCCAGGTGATGGACAACCCACGCAAGTTCGCCCTCTTCCAGCACTCGGGGCCAGACGGGCAGGGTAAGTGGTCGGTCGGTCGGTCGGGAGACTTTGTTTTGTCGAAAGTGAGGGGAATTTAATAGAAATGAGTGTTTGGCTGATTAAAATTTCCACGTGATAAGCCACTTGGTTGAGCTGTCGTTTGTGACCAGGTTGCTTCTGAAAAATAACTACTACATGGGCTCGGTGGGCCTTAGCTGGTAAAATAAAAAAAAAGTTTATGGAATTTGTTTTACAGGGTGTCCGCAATGCGCTGTTTGCTACCCCCAGTTGTGTAAATACGTAAACATTGGTTGAATAGATGTTGATTGAACGTAAATTGGTTGAACAAGTTAATATTAAGACACAGATTGCGATGGGTCACACAAAGCTGGCAACAGCACAGCATTCACAGCCTTCACTGTTAGCTGTCACTTATCTCGTGCCACCATCATTCTAATGATGGACACTAATTCTCAACCACATTCTCTGTGATATCTCTCTTGTGGCTGCCATTATGTCACATTGTAACAAAACACAATAATTGCAAAGTAATTTCAGGCCATGTCTGCAATGGGGGTTGTTTGACGATACTTTACCACGATGGTCAGTGCTAGCTTGTGAAGATGGGGGGGGAGGAGACCAGGTTAGATTCAGATATCTCGAGCCAATAATGTTAAAGCTGTGGTCAGCAATAATACTTATGTCACGGAGCTCATAGCGTCATGTGCTAACGCTGCACCCATACATAGTTAAACCAAACATCAATGTGTAGGGGTCACCTAGCGGCAACAGCATTGCAAAACACTCTGTACATTGTTTAAGGCCTATGTAATCAAATGGTTAGAAATCATTAAGGTTTGACCACCAGGTTGATTTGCTAATGGCGTTTCAAGTAATAACATGGCCGCTATAAAAGCAATTATATTTTACAGGCTGCAAGGACATTTGATATACTTATATATTTTAATATATACTTAAAACATTTCATTGGTTAAACTACACAGCCAGTGAATGTTACAGAACCTGCAAATATTCACAAACTGTTGAAGCCAAGCCCGTTATTGACATCATGTGACTGCAGCCGGGTTGTGTAACGTCTCTAGGAGGGGGCTGACGTTGAGCTTACTACCGAATCAGCACCATGGAGAGGAATTTTGCAAGGGCACGATTAGTGTACATGTCGGCTTCTAAAATTAGTTCATCGTGTCTCAAGCACATTTCTAACTGTGGTGCTGGATCACTCGGTGATCATTTCCCCATTGTTGTTTGTGCTTGGGTGAGAGCAATGCCTGGTTCTTGGCTTACTCCTTACCTCGGTGGCTGTTCTCGAGTATTTCTGCAGATATTTTCTCGAGTCTAACTGTTCTGTCGACAATTACTTTTACGTCTTTCATGAAAAATTTAAGTGAGCCGGGCACCAACAATTGTTCTGCAGCTCTCTGTTCGGATGCTTTCAGCCAATTAGTGAGTGATTTATACTTTGGGAGTAAATCGAAGCACCCAGAGAAAACCCACACGTGCGAGGGGGCAAAACTCAATCCCATACAGATGATATCAGCCCACACTTCGTTGTACTGAATTCTGGCAGTAAGTCCGGGTATTGCACCTTAATGTCCACGGGAAGGGAGTCTCGCAACATTTTGTCACGTGTGTGGTGATCCACCTCCACAGTGCAGGATTACAGGCCACGTGCATAGCCACCACTGCCCCGACTCCCATGCAGTCACATGTTATTAATATGTTGCACCCTCCCCGTATATACCATCCTAGGTAATCACCTCATTACCCACACTGCGTGAAAAGCGGGATAAATATATAACCAACTCGCAAACGTAAATGCTCCTGGTTTTGAAAAATATCCAAGATCTGTTTTGTAAATACATGTCTTGCAAAGGAGACAATAATGTATCCAAATAGGGATTGCAAGATGCATTTGGAAATGCACATCCATCTTGCATTGGGCACTGCACAAACCTGTTAATACACAATCTCCGTCTTGGAAAGGAGATGATGTGTTGATAAATGGGTCTTGCAACACCCAATAAAATGCGGGAATCTCCTTTACAAGATGCGGACGCGTATTCGCACACGTCCCACAGCAATGCTTTTTAATGGGTACAACAGGACTTCTTTTGTTGATGCACGTGCGTGCCTCAGAAAATGAGGTGATTCATCTCGATAGATATTGCGAGACGTATCTGTTGGTACACAAGTGTTGCCTTGCAGAAGAGGTACGATTGTGATGTGAAGCGTGGCGGGGGGGGGCACTGGGTTTGGGGAGCCGGTCGATTGCACGTGGTTCGACTAGGGGCTACGCGCGCGGCAGTCTCACGTGGTCTCTTTCTCCGTTGTCCGTGCCGCCACAGTGTCCAAGCGCAAGCTGACCGATGAGGAAAACCCCCTGCACCTGCGCCTGCTGAACGGACCCGACCAGACTGCAATGCGCTTCGTCATGCAGGAGAACGAGACCGGCGAGGTCATTGTAAGTCATCGGACGCCGTGGCGAGATGTAAATTACCTCGCCTGGTATGCAGGAGGTCATGGGATTATGATCCCGACCCTGGCGCCTGCTGTATATTTTGAGTTTGTTCTGCCCGTGGTCGCGTGGATATTTCTCCGGATCCTCCAGTTTTGCCCTGCACATTTAGAATTAACGTGCGTTTAGAGGATTTGGCTGCTGTAAATTTCCACGTGATAAGCCACTTCGTTGAGCTATCACTTGTGGCCAGGTCGCTTCTGAAAAAGAGCTACATATATCAGTGGGCCCTAGTTGGTCAAATAAAAAAATTGCATGGGACGCGGGGATGTCTCGTGCACAACCACGCCGCTGTAACCAGCCGGCCACCTTTGTCTTCCTGGTGCCGGTATTTACACGCTTCATCAGGTATTTATTTAAAATCTCAAGACTAAGTCGGGGAGGCCAGGACAGGCCCAGGCATTGCTTATTTTTGCTGCGGCTAGGAATTTGAACTTGGGTCACCGGGTTTGCAGGAGATTGCACTCACCATTACATGACCAAATTTCACACACAAAATCAGCACAAAGACCCTATAGTCATGCAGACTGTCAGGGCCCAGTGCTGTTGGCGAGCACCTATCCGCGCACAAAGTTCTCCAATGTATTCTTGTATCTTTTATTTGTAAATGGTATTGTTAGGCTAGCATGGTGCATGGGGGGATGTTGGAGTGAGCACCACGCCTAGCCGCCTTTGTATCTCTCACGCTGATGTCGACGTGCCACTTTTACCCATTTGAGACTGATTTGACCTAGGGGAGCCACAATTCGGGTTCATGTCCCATTTGACATCTGCATTGTACTCGATCGAACTTGGGTGCAAATCAGAATGGTAGAGCCGTTTAGTAATGCCTACGCCCACCACTGTCGCAGTTGTGCGTGCACGCGTACGTACTCGCGCTGTTGATATAGTTTGTTATTAATGGCCCTGTGCCCTTGTGTTCCCATTGAGTGGCTCTTTGACCCGCTGTGCCGTGTCTCTCCTGTTACAGTGGGAAGCCTTCACCGTCCCAGAGCTGCAGAATTTCCTGCGGATTTTGAAACGGGAAGAGGATGCGTACGTGCTCAAGGTCCAGGAAAAGTACGACGGCTATCGCCAGAAACTGGTGGAGGCTCTGGCCACACGTAAGCCCGGCTGAGCTCCGCCCTACCGCAGCGGAGCCTCGCGAGGTGCCTCGCCAGCGTCGCCACGGGAAAGTGGTGGAAAACGTCGGTGAAGAGAAAACCCGCTGGGAAGAAAAGTCACAACGACGACGACGACGACGACGACCTGCACCCGATTCTGAATTTTAACGTGACGTAGTGGTGTGTGGGGGGATTGGGTGCGGGGTTTGAGAGAATGTATATAACATCGGGGGGGAGGTGTTGTGGTCTGTAAGGTCATGTGATGTAACGCGTGCGTAGGAAGCGCGGAAGATCAATGGTGTGCGGTGTTTGGAATATGTATGTATGTTGAGCTTATTTCGCGCCGCACGTAGCCAACCGTGCTAATGGGAGGTGCAAATAGTGTCGGTGTGAGACGCGGGTGGCGTGGGTATGCACTGAAGGGCGAGAGTGCGAGCAAGCCAGCGCTTGAGTGAGTAGGTGCACCCTTGTGGGCCCTGCCCTGCCTATTTGCTCTCTCCGAAAGTGAGATCAAGAGAAGCACAAAAGGTCGAGGGATGGGGTTAGGTGGCCGAGGTTAGGGGTGATGCGAGGTGCAAAACTAGTCGTCTGCGCTGTGGAAACTGAGCTGAATGAAAGTTATTTCTATGAAATTGCCAAGGCTGGGAATTTTTCATGCGCAAAAAAGTTTGTAAAGTGGATTCCTTAAGAATCAGTGTGGAGTTGAGTGAGTTTTAAAGCAAAACAAAAAGGTCAATGTATAATTGCAGGGAATGTTTATGTTTAAATGTCTGTGAACTGTGTGCTGTACTGTTTATTTTATGAACTCCCCCCTCCCCCTCTCCCATTCTCTAGAAAATTCCATTTAAATACTCCATTAAGAAACAGAAAAAAAGACAAATTCAATACTTCACGTTTTATTAAAAAACAATTATCTATGGGATGTGGGCGTTGCTGGTATACCAGCATTTACTGCCCATCCCGAGTCAATACGCAAGGAGGTGGTGGTAGTGCCGTGGATTTGTCCGTGTCCTGCTGCAGTCGTAGCAGCGGGGATGCCCTCTTCCCCCCCAACGCTGTTCAATAGGAGTTTCAGGATTCAGGTCCGGTGTTGATGAACGGGCGGCGGCAATAAATCTCCTGGGTCGGGGGCGGCGTGACTTGTAGGGGAATTTGAAGTTGGTGGAATTCCCACCACGCAGGTCGCGCAGGTTTGGGAGGTGCTGCTGGAGCAGCTTTGGTGCAGTGCATTCTGGAGACCGTGCGCACTGCAGCTGGAGGATGCCCCCCAGGGATGGCAGGGGTAGATATCTACACTGGTGAGGTGCCAATAGAGCAGATCGTTGTCCTGGATGGTGGCGAGCTTCTTACGTGTCATTGGAGCTGCGCTCATCCAGGCAAGCGTAGCGTACTCCATGACACCCCTGCCTTGTCCCTTATAGAGTAGCGGAGAGGCTTTGGGGAGAAAGGAGATGGGGCCACTTGCTTCAAGATAGCCAGCCCTCTGACCTGCTGTTGTGGCCATGGTGTTTATGTAGCTGGTCCAATTGAGTTTTTTGTTGTCAATGGTGACCGCCAAAATGTTGATGGCGTGGGACTCTGCGATAGTAATTCCGTTGAATGTCAGGGGAAGGTGCTTGGGCTGTCTTGTCGGAGATGGTAATTGTCTGGCACTTGTGTAGCACAAATGTTATTTGCCGCTTTTCTGCCCAAGCCTGGATGTTAACCTGGCCCTGTCATTTGCTAAATTGTTCACCACCATTCTTGGTTGGGTGTGGTAGGATTGCAGAGCTTTGACTTTGTTGGTTGTGGGATCCCGTATCTCTGTCTATAGCATGTTGTTTTTGTTGTCGAGCAAGCAAGTAAAATTGTGTTGAAGCTTCTCCAGGTTGATGTTTAGGTATGTTGCTGCTGTTGGCATGCCCTTCTCTACGCACCTCGTTGAACCAGGGTTGGTCACCTGGCAAGATGGTCATGGAGGAGTGAGGAATATGTTGGGTTATGAGGTTAAATATCTTGGTGGTGTACGATCCTGTCGCTGATAATGGTCCACATCGCCTCATGGATGCCCCAGTCTCTCGAGCTACTAGATCTGCTCGAAATTTGTCCCCGCTTCGCACGGTGGTGGTGCCGCACGAGACACGATGCCGCGTGCCCTCGGTGCAACAACGTGACCTGGTCTCCACCACAAGGTCTGTGCGGTGATCACGCCTACCGATGCTGATGGGCAGATGCATCTGCGACAGGTAGATTCACGAGGACAAAGGTCAGGTTAGTCACTCCCCTGGTGCTGGTTCTCAAACCGCCTGCCGCAAGTCCCGGTTTGGCAGTTGTGTCCTTCAAGACTTGGTCAGTGGTGGTGGTGGTGGAGGACATTGAAGTCCCCCCACCCAGAGTACATTCTGTGCTCTTGCTGCTCTTAGTGCTTCCTCCAAGTGATGTGCAATATGGAGGAATAGTGACTCTCATCAGCGTAGGGGAGGACGGTGGGTGGTAATCGGTCGAATGTCCTTGTTTGTCCTGGAGCCATGGAACTCCATGGGGGTGCAAACGCGATGTTGACGGCACCCGAGATTACTCCCGTGCGGCTTGATACCCAACTTCTCGTGGGTCTCCTCCTGCCTGCCGGTGGGCCAGGACACGCGGCAGATAGTTTTGTGCTAAAAATGGGTATAAGTGGGATTGTAGAAAAATATGAACAGATTATATAAACGAAAGGAATGTTAGGGATGTGCAATACGGCAAGTGTTCTACGCTGGTTCTGATGAACTAATTTACGTGGCAGGTTTCGAGACTGCTTAGATTTAAATTCAGTCGGTAGGAAAAAATGAGGTCTTACGAAGCGAGGAGTGGAAGGGCTTGGGGAGGGGGACCTGCCTGCTCGATCACAAGGGCTATTGACGACATTACTGGGGTTGGAACAAGTGTTGTCTCTGCCATAGGCGAGCGAGCGCACACACCCACACACGGTAGGCGGGAGGTTTATACACCTGAATGTTGCATGCGCGAGGGGAATTCTTCCCCGATATAAGTTAATATTGTATTTAAATAAATAATACCGTTCAGTAAATAAACGAATACAACTGTAAATGAGAAGTAAATACGAGTAGCTTTGGTAATAGGCTGTTTTATAAGCAGCAACTGTTGGGCTGTTAGTGAATTTAATTCTGCTTTAAGTGCCAAGCCACCTTGCAATCAATTGAAAATGTAACCGAGTTTTTGGAATGTTCTGAAAATGTGCATGTCCGTGTTGGGTGAAGCACACGTGAAATGGCAAGGACCGTGCAGTTGGGTGTTCCACATTTTCAGCTTTTGAGTGGCTAAACAATAATTGTTGAAAAATTATTCGCTAAGAAATCTTAACGGGTGCGTGACAACGATTGCCCAAATTGGAGTAAACGTTGCCAAAATCTGAACAGGTGGAACATACTCTGTGCACGGTGAATGTCAATGCCTCTTCTGTCTGTATCGTGCTCCTCTCGTATCGTATGGCAAGGGTTGAGAGCAGCAATGTTTGTATGTTCACGTTGAGGTTGGCGAGTGAGCAAGTGGACGGGCGGCTGTCGGGGAGTGGTCTGGTGAATGTCTGAAATGCCCCCCCCTCCCCCCATGTACGTACAGTTGTTAAAGGCTCTGGGGAATGGAATAATGTTTTTTTACTTTACGAACACGCAGCGTGGGCGTTCACCTGTCACGCTGACAGCCGCCGCGGTTAATGTTACGTCGGAGCCCCGTTGCAAGCTGACCAACCTCGACACGTGGCAATGCGGCGAATGAGGTTTTAAACGCGACCATTGAAGCTGTTGCCGGCAGCAGTTTTGTCATTAATCTAGGGGATTAGAAATCTGCGGCAGCGCCACTGTTCATCGTCATGCTTATGACCATCGGTCACGATCCATCCACTACTAGATGATGGCTTCCCCCACATACCGGTGTGGATCGTTTGACCATACTTCACCACGCCGGACAGTGCAGTTATGTGAAGGTGGGCAGAGTACAGAACAGCAATGCACGTTTGCTGCACTGCCTCCTGTGGCCCACACAAACCTGCTCTCCATGTGCATGGAGATCACCCATCCGACGAGCAGTTGCCACCTCCTTCTCTAACAAACGGAACCTATGAAGAAAATCGAGTGAACAAAAAATTCGCAGAAACAAAATTCGTGGGCGGCGACGGCCGCCCCTGTGTCGTTTTGTGTGTCTCACAAACTTGAGTGACTCAAAGGATGGACGCGGTTTTGTTTGTTATCGTCTGGACGTTTGGTTCATTCGAGGCGGCAATACTGCGATGCATTGAAGGCTCTCTCGTAGGCTCTTCCGTGGGGGGAGGGTTACAGATGATTAATTGCACATGTATTTATCAGCATTAGCCGCGAACGGTGGGAACGAGTCGTGGCTGGTGATAATGTGAGGGTTAATGAGGGGTCGACACTTGGGGTAATTGTGATCTTGGTGTTTAATTGGCCTGGAAATTACATTATCCGCATCTAACGTCCTTAGGTTCTTTATTCATTAGGCATTACATTGGTGCAGACACCCATGATAATGTATGGTCATGTTACAATAACACAAAAAAATCCTGTTTGATCTTATAGGCATGCAAGTATGTTGAACTTCTTTTGTACCATATGTAGCCAACCATACTAATTGGAGGTGCGGTCTCTGTGTAGGCATTCTGATAGCCGATTCCTACAAAAATATCGAGATTGATAATTGTTTATAAGCCTAATTCGCGACAGCTAACCCACGCTAATATTTAGCAAAATTATCGAGATTCATTTTTGCAAGGAGACCAATCAAACTTTATCGGGGGTGGTAGCATGCAGGGTGTGAATAATGTGTTCGGCACAGTCTATACATAAATATCCAGTAATGTATGCAATGCGTTACATAGGTGAATATTATTTATAGGGTGTTGGTTTATAGTAACGTAGAATGATTTTTGTTACATTGTAGCAAATGGGCGCATCCCCGCTGTAGAAAGAATTGCAATCAAAAGTGATGCCTTAATTCTCTGGCTCTCCTATTAACCGCGTCTCTAAGCACATATTATATTTAAAGAAAAAAACATTTACACGAATGTTTTATGAAGACCCACATCCACAATAGTCGTAGCCCTTTGTCAGAAAACAAAGGGCTACGACTATTGAATGACTTATAAAAGAGTAGCTCGTCAGAAAAAATAAGTGGGGGAAGAATGTGGTAACACATTGCCTGAATTTTGCAATGCTGAGGAACGCGATTTAAACTCGTACAGTTGTGTAAAATGATCATTTTTCTGACAAATCAGTAAGTGTTGTTTCGGTAAAATATGCCTGCGTTCGGTTCACTTGGGTGTTTAAAAGCTCCAGGGCCAATTAAATCAAACTGTCAAGAGCCAACACCCTTTCATTCGATCTGCAAACGAAGTTGCGTCCATTAGTTCGCAGTTCTCGGAAGCAGGAGGCAAGTGCGGTTATGACATAGTTGGTTGGGGGGGAGTGGACTCTGAGCAGCATGCCGTGCCCTATTTCAATGCATTCTCTCTTAAAGAGAGGCCCCACGGCCTGCACTGCTGCCCAAGCCGTACAGAGGCGGCTTTCACGTCGTTTTTGGCTTGGGGCCCTTGTGAGAGCGGGCACGTGGAGGCGGGGCAGGGGGGGGGGTTTGACAGCTGGGCAGCAATGCACGGGGGTGAGTGGGGGGGGCATGCAAGAAGCCCCACTCCAGTGCCTTATATGTACATGCAATAAGTCACCGCGTGGAAGGCAAAGGCTTATTTGGGCAAAGTCAGTGTTGGGCAGCTTGGCCGCGCGCAATGCACTTATCTGCCCCGTGGCAGGCATTTGATGTCCGCGACGCAATGACACGCGACCATCCCATCAGCGCGTGCTGTGTGTCCCAAGATCGACCATATTATCATCCCCGACGTTGAGTGCTGCATGCCACGGCGTTACGTTTGGGCTATCAGGCTCCGTCTCATCGCCGTTATATGGGGGGGTCCCAGGTCCCTGGGCCCATGTCCCATTGAGCAGTGGGTGGAGGGGCCCATTTGGTGTTTCACGAATTTTTGGTGATTCTCCGCATGTGACCGTGACGCCGGCCTGCTTTGGCCCACTCCAGCAAACGCTGCCATACGATTTTTTGTTGTTATTTAGACTCAAGTGAAACTGCGGGTGGGCGATCATTCTTCTAACATTGAACGTAGCACTGTACACGAAATGACATTTTGGCTACCACAGTCTTCTTGCAGCTGTTGCCAGTTACAATTTCCCGATTGCAATGGTGTTTTTTGTTGTTGTTGTTGTAAACAAAGTAAATAAGAGTTGCACTGTTTTAACTGTGGCTTTAAGTGACTCCGCAGTTGGCGCCACTTCAAAATAAAGTGGTGGCCGTATTGGAGGAGCGTGTGGCCAATTACATGCGAGTGTTGTTCATTAAATTGGAATTATTTTAAATGAATACATTGAGATTATAAATGACGACTATAGAGGTGACCCTTCGCAACCATTCATCGTTTGGCATTCACGTCGGGCTCGCTTTTACACTCGCAAGGGTTTGCTTTTTACGATGCCCTTAATTGAATCTGTCATTGCTGCACCCAAGTCAACATATAGAGCGATTAAAATAATACCCGTAGGTAATGCTTACTGTTGAACAGTATATATAAATGGTACTAGATGTATAAAAAAAACATTCTTTAAACGTAGAGGCAATTGGGGAACAATGTTATTGCTGTTTCTAAGGAATTCTATATTGGTATTATTTTGTAATGAGTTACTGTATTTGTTTATGTTTGTCCCTTGTTCTTTCTGTTGCTCACAAATGCGACTCCCCCACCCCCCACCTTGACCAAAGCCTATTTATAACGAAGGAAGTGCGGTTTTTTTTTGTATTGAACTTGCGTTGTTGAGAAGTGTACGGCACGCGCACTAAAGGACAAACTTTTAACGGTGCCACCTGTGAAAATAAAGCGTGCAGCAGGCCTTTGCACTGTTTCTAATAAAACGCAATAAAAATGTTTTGCAAAGAAAAACGAGCGTTGCGGTATTTGTTTAGCGTGTGCCTGAACGCGCTTGGAATACGATAAAACCGTACGCCCGACAAAATCGCCCATCAGAGATTTGTTCATGTATGGTACTGTGGATTGTTAATCGCGATTAAATTGTATGGATTCCGCTCCAGTCGACACATAATAAAACAAACATCAAAAATACCGAGTTGATCGTAATTTGCGGGCTAATCGCTGTGTCGATTCATTGCCAATCGATCGGTGGCTTAAGAAATGATGTGCCAACCTCCCCCACCCCCCCTTCATTTGATTGGCTAATATCAGCAAGATCGGTGATTCCGTCGCCGTCCGCTTTCATTGTGACCACTGCTGCAATGGTTAGCACGCTGGACTTGCTATTTAGAGGTTGCCCGTTCCACTTCCCGCTCTGGAAGTTGAAACAGCGGCGCGTTTCTTAAATCTCTCCCACTGCCTCTGCCTACCAATCAGTGTGAGTACAGCACAGTTTTACCAAACGGAATACTTTTTTATTTTACCAGCTAAGGCCCACTGAGCTATGGAGCTCGTTTTCAGAAACGACCTGGCCACAAGTGAAAGCGCAACCAAGTGGTTTATCGCCTGGGAATTTATAGCAACTAAATACTTTAAACGCACGTTGATTTTAAATGTGAAGTGAAAAACCGGAGGACCCGGATAAAAATCCACACCACCACCCGGAGAGAACATGCAAACTCTAAAATATACAGCCGGCGGCAGGGCAGGGATCGAATTTACGACATCCTGTATACCAGGCGAGGTCGTTAACTTCTCGCCACCGTGGCCCCTGTCAGTTCATTGGCAGGTCGCGTGCGGTGGGGTAAAGTAATGGGATTCTACCGGCGTGGAAGAGTAGGCCAAATACCATCTGAAGGAGCACTAAAGCCAACCTGGTAAAGACATGTCAGCTGATGGCACGAGCAAATAATTAACTGCAGGGCTCCAGCTTTACTTTCACCGACATGCCAACCAAATGATTGTACGTGCGATAGTGCAGTAACAATTAGGCAACATGTACACAGTTCGGCGTGTTTTGTGGCATTCAGTAATGTAGAATGAGAGACCTTTTTCCCAAAAGGGTGTTCGTGGTATCTTACATTGGTGGAATGTGGAACAAGTGCATCCAAGGGCTTTCATGTCCGGATCTCTTTCAGCCTTTGAGACAACATTAAACGGCGTGGAGACAATGGAGAAAAATAGAGGCTCTGCTTGAATGACAAGCATCCACATTTGTAAAAGGAGTATAGGGGTGAGCGTGGAATAGACGTTCTAAAGAGGGAATGCCCTTTGGAAGGGATTATGTTATGGCGAGAGCACACGTTTTAACACGTGTTTAAACTTAGAGGCCATGTGTGATGCGAAGTCTGTTAACATTGCAATTGCAGGGTGTTCAGGAAATTAGCGAGCGTCTACTTTAGCACGAGGATGCAAGCAGCCAGCAAATGGTATGCGCGTTCAGAATACGTGTGTGATTAAACGTCACGGACGCCTGATAGGCAATTCAAACTGGGGTTACCCCTGATGGAATCAATTTAAGCGAGTGCGTTGATTCCTCAAGATGACTTTTCGCAACTTCTGAGGTTTAATGTGTCAAATTAAAAGCTCCCCATTATTACCTTTCCTATATAAATGACGTCGAATATCCGGACGTCATTAATCCACCCGAACCAATTAACCGCCCAAATTAGCGCGGTTGACAACCAAAATAACAAGAGCAAGGGCTCTGGAGCCCTTGGCCCAGAGCAAGCGCAGTATTTGTGCTCGATGTAGCCGTCAATGTTTATGCAGTAGATGTTAACATTTCACAGTTACGTGCGTTATTAATATCATGTACGCTCCCTTTCTATAGCACAGTGAGGCGCGTTCACGTGGTTTAAAACAGGCTGCACACTTTTTTTTTGGTCCCGTAACATATTTGTGCATGGTGGTATAACTACCAGCGAAACGTCTTTACTATGAATCGAATTGTAAATGTTGTGGGTTTATTCTCCAACACACTGGCGTGCTGAATTAGTAACGAATTGGCATGTTTTGTTTACGTGGAAAGCCTTACGAACCGGCTGTGTCGGGTGGTGGCGGGTTTAACGACACATTTATATTTACGTGAATCTAACCCAAAAGAACCTCTATTATGGATATTGGTCGCGAAAGCCTACGGGTTAAACTTGTGTAACTTATTTACTCTGCAGGGTTGAACCAGATGTCTTGTGACCCCTCCAAATAATTGAACCCTGACATTTCTACTTTTGCTTATTAATTTGTCTTCACACCTGTTGCTATACAAAAGCATTCGTGAGAATTGTATTGTTTTATATTTTTATTATTTCCCTTCTACGAGACTTTACCGAAAGAACCAAGAATATGAATCCCTGCAGTCACGAAAGCTTTAAATCAAAAGTATGAGGTTTTAGATAATTCAATGGGGGTCGCAAGACATCTGGGTCACCGTGTCGATGTTCACATACCCGCTCATAGCCCAGTCCACAGTGAGTCACATAAGCGAAATTACAACGCACTGTCCTGCTAATTACAATTTCCTGGTAAAATACAATCGGCATTCGAGTTTTGTTTTGACAAACTTCTTCCCCACACCAACTCCACCACAGAATGTTTTGTGCGCAAGCAGGATTTCCTAATTTACTGAAAATCAAAGAAGATGGTTTTGATTTTGTTCATCAGTGTACCAGCAATGCCAAAAAAAATCGTCTGGCCGGCGTCATATTTTTATTTCCCCGGGGCAGATTTAATTGCTGCTTGTTTTCATTTGCATGGGAATGCAGGATGAGACGTACATTAGGCACAGCCTGCCACTATAAATATAAATTTGTTTTGTTCTGTAAGCAAAGGGGCACAGTGAGAACAGCCAACAAACAAAAACACTTTGGGCAAAGTTTACAGGTTTCTTGCACGCTACAGCAGTGATAAGGTCATTGCTGTACATGCGTCGAACATTGTACAATGTATGCACAATTCAAGAACGACCCAATTGTTTACAAGCTTTGAATTGTTGTATTTGATAGCGAGTGCGTGTCTGTGAACTGTGCTTCTGTCCTGTCAATGTGCCTATTCTCGTGAATAGTTCAACGCTGACCTTAGGAGAGGAATATTGAAGTGACCCATCAGCTCCAAATAAGCCGGCTCAATGGTGAACATTCTGGTGATCTGAATATCCAGCCACCTAAAGACTAATTGGCAGATGAAACAAACGTATGCTGTTGCTCCTACAGCTCTTTGTAATTCCACTGGTAGATGAAGGCCTCCCTATGTGATGTCAGACATGGGGCATTATGTATACAATTGTATGGTAACTCGGGGATAAAGAGTTAAATACTAATCTAGGGCTCTCAAATGTTCAAGGTACATGTATAATACAATAAACTGTAGAATCAGAAAAGCACTTTCTTTGTTGTCTACTCTAGCATTCAAAAAAATGAACCGTAACCTGATAATTCGTTACAGATGGTCTCCACTATGTTCCAACGTAATCTATTTTGTTCATTGGCCACTGGGTGTGGTTAAATATACACACGTTCATTTCTATGAATTGAGTTTGTTGTAACAAGGCTCCAATTGTACGATTTAGCAGCAGCAATATACACTGGAGTGTAGTTAAATGTGAAATTTATACATTTAATCTAAAACAGTCATTGTAAACGATCACATTTACAACAGAATGAACACAAAACAGTTTATTCTTAAAATTAATACATTACCCCACCTACAGCACAAAGAATAAAGCAGTGTAACACAATTTTATTTGTATTTCTCAGTTTGCGGCTATTACCATTACAATTAAAGTTTAGATAATTTAATAAGTACATCAAGTCACCCTGTTCATACATAAAACATATGACTCAAGGAGTTAAGGTCCCTCGCAATTGGGGGACAGCTTACGTTACAAACTTCACACATATACCGCATGTAAACGCACGCGCATGAACACGCGCGTGCACAAATACAACGCACAAATGCAGGCGCCTAGATTGTGCAAGCTTTGTTACTCTATGTTGAACTTCCTTCACACCGTAAGCAGCCAACCGTGTTAATCGAAAGGTGCGGGGGGGGAAGGAGAAATAAACAAGACACAAAAGGTAGTTCTAGAGAAATAATTTTGCAATTTAGAAATGTCTTTGATGAGATGAGCAGAAGTGCTCGAGTTGCCAAAATAAGGATTGCCTCGGTAAAGTCACGTAGGTAAAAAAATAAAATAAAACTAAATTAAAATGAAAACTAAATTGAATTTAGTTGTTTTCATTTTAATTAATTTTATTTTGTTTTTTACCTACGTGACTTTACCGATAAAACCAAAGAGCATGGATCCTTGCAGTCACGAAAACTTCAAATCTAAAAGGATTGCCTCCACTGTAAAAAAACAGAAGGATTGACCGACTGGCTAGCCTTTGAATGCAGCAGCTTATGAAACCCTTAAAACTAGCTTGGTCAATATGCACGATTTTATTTAGCGAACGCACGTTAAATCAAGATGGTCGAACAAAACTGAGCTTTACCATATGGCACAGCAAAGTAGGCATAGTACAGCTGAAGTTGACTGGATTGTCTTGTGAATAATTTGCCACTAGATTAAAAATACATTACCACAATAACCTGCACACCGTACAATTTAAAGGATTCTCAGCCCAGGTCTCAGGCAGACAACTCTTGAATTATAAATATCTCACAAAAAATATATATACATTGGGTGACATAATTTTCGTGGGAGCCTTTGTTAAAATCACTGTCGCTGAGCACACGGCCAAAACGTTTAGCAGCCAGCAACAAAGAGCACTCATGAAGGTGTGATAAGAGTTTAATACACATTGTGTTTAAGTGGGAAAGGGGAGCATTACATCACCAAAAGGCAACCTGTTTGCCCCAACAGTGCCCACCCAGGGAAGAATGTTAACCGGCTTACAAAAACCTTTTGTATCCAATCCAGTGTTTCTGTATGGAAATTAGACTAAACTGTTGCGTTCTGATAAAATGTGCCAAATGTAAAACAGCCCAAAGGAATTTAAATTTATCTGACGAAGATTGAAATATGGTTTAACGTACTCTGCAAGTATACTCAAATACATTTTCTAGATAATACCTCTGTACTGTACTTTTATCTTTAAGGCTTATGCAGTTAGGCTCAAAAGAGATGCATCTGGCTGAAGTGTTGGTGTGAAGGCTTCGTTGTCTCTACAGCATGCGGAAGCCATTTGCTCCACAACACCCTCCCGTGAAACTGGCCGACGATGGGAGACTTTAAAGTGTGCGGCTTGACAAACTTGGGTGTGGTTGAATTAACATTCACGGCAGTTAACAAATCTCAAAAAAGAAAATAATTTTAGAAACTAAAATTGGCTATCTGGAAAAGTAAAACGCCAATTATACAATTGCAGAATGGTATTATTTTTTACTTCGGCGTCACTGGAATCCAGTTGAAATATTGGTCGGTTTGTATGTGTAAGCCTATTGTGGCAATCCACTCCCGGATTGATCGTGTGGGTCGTAGGGGTTATATGACCATACTTCAGCGCGTTCGTAATTGGGGGTTGGCGAAGGCGAGGAGTGCAGAAGTGGGAGCATAGAGGTACGGTAGAGCAATTGATTTTGTTGAAACATTTTGCTGCCCACAATGTAGCCTCGCGGCCAGTGAAATTTGTTGTTGCGTCTCGCATTCCAGCACAATCCAGGTTCAACCCTCCTTCGTTTCTGAGATGCGACAAGATGGGGTGCATTTCCGGACCAAATGGTAATAGGCATTGGTCATTTTACCTGCTCGACTCAATATCGCAGTCTTGCCGTTCATAAGTGACAGAACTAAAATGACGAAAATATGGACTAATTACTTCAAATATTCACGACGCCGGAGCTGCAGCGATCAAACTGATCAAGGCTCACCAGTGCCCCACCGTCTGCAAGTGTTACATTTTGCAAGGCGGAAAAGCTTTTCACAGATACAAAAACACAGAGCGGCTCCCTTTAATCCAATAGCAATAGTTAAAAAAACAGATACCTCAACATTGTTGACACGTCGGATGTTGTTAAAGCAAAGTTAATTCGTTGCATGTGATTCCAAAACAAATTGTGTTGGATTCATACAACAGGGGGACTTTGCTTGAAAAGTCCTTCCCATAAACTTTCAAACATGAAGCTTTGCCAATAGCTGGTAACATCACTTAGTTCAGGAATAAACAGCTCACTTTAATGTAGGCCACATTAAAGTGGCAGAATTCCACACTTCGAGTTATCGGAGAAAATAAATAATTTAGACAATGTCTAAAGTAAGTGCAACTTCCAAACCTACAATAAATAAATGTTTTTTCACTCAAGGTTTCCATCCGCTTAGAAACGTTTTTAACTGCTTTGAATTTAGTTGCAAGCAATTAAAAACAATTGGGATTTTAGTTACAATACCCGTATTAATATTCTGAATGTCAAGATCTTTCACGTGCAATGCAAAGACAGCGGCATGATTTGATACTATTCCACTGATATTAACGCCAGGGCAACGGGAAATTAACCAATTTGTTGACGTCTTGCGAATTGCCTAAGTGGTGAGTGTTGTCGACCACGAAGCTAACCGACCTGCTAAAACCATTTCACATATCTCCTTAGTGCCAGGTATCTTACTTCACTCTTATGCTCTGCTTAAAGTATAAGAAAGTGTACACCATATTGCAGAGTGGACACAATTTTCACTGCTTATCAACACTTACTACGTATATGCATTAACCTTGCGATGTTATGAACTTAAACAATGGTACAACAGCGCCCTCTGCCTGCAAAACACCTGCATGTCACACCGACATCACAGGCGTACACATTGGAGTGGCGGGAACACTAAATAGTGCATTATCAACGCTCGCCACGACCATCATAATCTAATGCATTAACTATTCTGCACTGATCACATGAGCGCATGGGCAATCTTTCATAGCATTTCCATAACATATACCACGACTATGCTTCACCACAGACAGCATTTGTGAATGCATGTTTTCTACCACCTGTGCACGCAAAGTAAAGCAAGACGACACAGTAACACCGATGTCCCTGTAATCCATCTGGGGAATCTGCACGAGAAGTTGGCACGAGTACCACCCTGGAGTAGATGACTGCCAGAATTCAGGTGGGTGCGGCCAGTACCTTTACCCCCTGCCATACGTCTGTATGTTGAACTTCTTTCGCGTTTGGCAGATATATATGAATGCATACTAGTTCGCCTTCACACCTGCAAGTTGTGTCTACTCTCTGGTTCATCTGCGTTTGCTTGGGGTAGACCTCTCTCAATTTCTGAAAGGGATACAAAGGGTAGGCTATATGCATCCCCAAGTGGCTGGGACTCACTTCCTTTTACTCGCTCCGCGATGATGAAATGCCCTGCACGTCCTGATGTATGGCGGCAGGGCATCAAGGTGGCTGCATCACGTGGAACGTGATGCAAAAGCCACTCCACAGCCGTAGGTTTCAGTTAAAAGGACGCATTGGCATGCTCCCTTAAAGTTGTGAAAACATTTGCTATGTGACTTATGAAAGTGGCACATTGCAATTTCCAGTAAGATTATACGTGCCTTGCAACAAAGTATTGAAGACCACTTATCCATGCTCTTGACCGCACGGACAGTGTATTTGTTTAGTTGTGATAATGGTTATGACTGGAAAATTAATCTAAAGTTAGACGTTTTGTAAATAGAATATCCTAAAATGTCATGTTAACTGAATCCCAGGCATGGTGGCCTCAGATGAATGGCTTATGTTGTAATGCCACGTCCTTTAGTCTCCTCTTTGGTTACAATCGGGGCGGGCGTCACAAATCACCACTGGGAAGTCCACATGGATGCGTGGGTGATCCAACCGCACCATGCCCTGTTAGAGAGTGCACGTGGTTCACACAAACACACACAGACACACACAGACACACACACAGCAAAGCTTGCATTATGAAAAGGCTTGACCAACATAGAGTACTTTGCCAAACGCAATTACATTTTGATTTAAAGCTTTCGTGACTGCAGTAATTCATATTCTTAGCTCTTTCGGTAAAGTCACGTTGAAGGGAAACAATACGACGTTTCGACCATAACACAAACGGTCGTTTGTGTTATGGTCGAAACGTCGTGAGAATTTGTATTGTTATATATATATTTTATTATTTTGTTTCCCTTCAACGTGACTTTACCGAAAGAGCTAGTAATAGCAATTACATTTGTTTAATCAAGGCAAGAGCCCATTCATCATCCCTCTCCAAAAGAACCATCATTGATCTCATTTAACAATAAAGGTTATTATATTTTTGTAGGGTATGTAGAGACAGTTTCCAAGTCAAGGGTTGGACTTACAACAATAACAATGATCTATTCTTGCAAATTATCACCTACTCGATTTTCAATGCACTTACTTCAATTATGCGCGCTTTGATAGTAACATCATATAGAAAAATAAATAGAACAATTAAGAATGTATACAGCCATCCAAAAAAAGTATTCCACTCACAAACTGAATAATAGTTGTTAGCTCTTCATAGTTTTGCCAAAATGTATTTACTATGCAGTGAATGACGAGATATAAGTTACACGTGACAAATTCCATCCAGACACAGACTGCTCAAATCAGGATGCTTATATGAAAAACAAATCACAGGACAGTGTCGGTAGTGGGCTGTTGAGAAATAATTTTGCTTGGGAAAACAGGAAGTAACTCACCAAATAAAAATGTACACAATTGTCATTCAAATACGTTAAATTATTTCTTTTACTTTTTAATTGAAACTCTGTTACTAACTTGGCTGTTTCTTTAATGTCCAACTTCAACAAGACAGCATTCTATTGAAGGCCAGCTGAAAGTACTATCCAGATTCTGGAATTGAACTACTCAACTTATGAACGCTGGCTCAGTGGCTGTTGCATTGTGTACGAGGTTACCCAGGTACTTGAAGAGTGTTGGGAGTAGTGATCCGATTGTGGGGGATTAAATGTCTTGTCATTTTTAAAATCAATTTTATCCATGTCATGAGATGTATTAAAGATCTCAAGTGACTTCTGGTTCACACAGTAGAGGACAGTTCTTTCCCACCCACTCTGCATATGAGAGTTGTATGCCAGACCAATATTTTATTTCTTAGAGCTGGAACTTAGCCAAATTATTTGCAGAACAAAATATTACGGGATGGGTATTTGCGTTTTGCAATCATTGGTGACCGAGTTGAGATCATCAACACGATACTATTGCTCGAGATCCTGGTTTAATCACAGGCGGCTGCCTGGATTCAAAGCCAAGATTTCAGTGGTAACAGCTCAACGATTTGACCTCCGAGTCACCGGGTCCACCTGCGAGGAATTTATAGGCATAAGCTTGACTTGATGGGCCAGCCATTCTGCTCACCTGCGGGATGAGATTTTGGCACAGCCGGAGCAACTTGGCTCTGCGCTTCCCATTGCTGTTCACCAACTTCTCCTCGTAAAACTCATGTGCCAGGTCTCCATCCTCATCAAAGTACATCGAGCTGAGTGGTTACACAACAGCACACCGGTGGTCAATGGTAAATGAGTACAATTTTAAGATGGGCATTAAAGCTCCATTACATTGCTGTCTGGTGTGAGTTTTGAATGCTGATATACATTTTAACAAGAGTGTAATGAAGACAGTCCAAAACAGGGTTATGGCTCGGTTCGTGAGTAAGTAAATTAGTGTCTGTGAAGCATGGGTGAACAAATATGTATAAAAATGGGTTTTACTTTTAGGTTAACCTGCTATATTACTGTACACGTAGCAGAGTAACTACCTTGTCACTTCAGGGGCCAATTTTATGGTGGAAGTAACACAACACAGAAGATCGCATCCTCGCAAGGTTCTTGAGGCTGGAATGATTAAGTTCCAAAGCAGTGAATCACAGGACCTCCTTAGAAAAAGTGTAAACAGCAGGAAGTGAAAAGCAATGCAACAAAAGCTGATGTAAGGTTGGTATTGCTGGGCCATAGCAACGACAGCTGAGGTGAACTGTGTGTGTGTATGTTGAACTTCTTTAGTATAGTACGTAGCCAACTGTGTTAATCGGAGGCGCGGAGGGTGTGCTGTAACCACGTGTTGAGCCTACAAATGACGTTAACAGCAGACTTGAATACTGTAGCTAGAGGCATAATTTCCTTGTCAACAAGTTATATTCTTTCATACAGTGTATTTGGAGAGTTCTTGATTCCAGAGGGATGACAATGGCCCAAATCCAAACCCGACTCGGATTTTAATGAACGATCTTTAAAATCATATTGTTTACGTAACCATTACTTTCACATGGCAAAATTGTGGTAGTGATACTACTACACGTGTACATTGTAGTACTGTGTCGCTGTCTTTAGCAGGGCCATTTCCACGAAGAGTTATTGTCTTAAGCAGCATGTATTCGGTACTATTGGTGGTCTTAATGCTGACAAGGTTGAGGTCAAGAGGTCATCATTGCCAATGCCTCTGAAGGCACCACACCTTGCCATCACTTTCTTCCTTATGCCAGAACCTGCAGTTGTTAACACGACCTCCAAGATCTCCCCTTACTGTATTCTACATGTGGCTGTGTTCCCATCTGGCATTCATGTCCCTGTAACATGTCCTCCTCCATTCTATGCATGCCCAACCAACTTAATTTCCTCTCTCGTGATTACATCCACACAGCGGAGATGGGAGTCCTCATATGTTAAAAGCCATTGTGGACTCAGAACAGAGACAATGTATAAGAATTGCTTTGACCCTTTCTGGCAATAAAACAGTTTGTGTTAAGACGTTAAAACACCAAACAGAACCCTTTTGCAAGGTATCATGTCTGCATTAACCACACGTACTTGTAGTGAACATGCAAATAAAAACATGTTCTGGTAATATATTTGCATTGTCTTTGAAACTGATTTGTCCACACGATAGACAGCTTTCTTTCAAAGACAATGCACAGATTATTACCAGAGCATCTTTTTGCCTGCATGTTCACCACAAGTATGTGTGGCTAATGCAGACATGATTCCTTGCAAAAGGTTCGTTTGGCGTTTTAACACCTGTTTTTATTGCAAGAAAGGGTAAAAACAATTCTTATACTTTGATGCTGGCGAGGAAGGTCCAATGATGAGACAATGTATATGGCTGTAGTGACTTGTCACATTCTGATTTTCTGAACCTCCAAGTTTTGTTTTACTCAATTTTTGGTCATAAAATTGACACAGGCGCTGCACACGAAGGCTTCGAGACAAACCATCAACCCCCTCGTTAGCAATTCGCACATTCGCTGTCAACACGCATCATTGAGGATTTCATGTCACAGTCTCTCTCACGTCTCTCCCCTAACCTCCAAGTTGCTTGTCCCCCCCCCATCCTTCGATCAAACTCACATCAACCTTCCACTACCACCTGTGTAAACCAAGCGCCCGCAGGCCAACAACTCGATAAGAGAGAATCTAACAAGACCTCATAGCCGTCATTCGCTCGAGTCCCGTACTTAATGACGGTAACCATTCACATTTTGATTTAAAGCTTTCGTGAATGCAGTGGATCCGTATTCTTGGTTCTTTCGGTCAAGTCACGTTGAAGGGAAACAATAAAATAAAAGATAGTTATATATATATTTTATAATTTTAATGTTTCCCTTCAACGTGACTTTACCGAAAGAACCAAGAATGTGGTAACCATTTAATTCAGAAACGTCCAAAGTCGTTTACCATTCCCTTCAACCCCAGACTCGCACCATCCACCATCACCTACACACATTTAACGACCTCCAAGGCGCTTATATGCATCCCATCCTTCCACCGAATTCACTCTGCGTTCGCAACTATACTCTAAAACCCCACGGCATTGTGGTATTGTAACAAAGGCGTTGAAACGGGGCAAAAAAAGATCCCTTTCGCTGCATCATCACGCCCGCGACCAGCCCGTAAATTGCCCACGGTTCCTCACCGCTAACACCTTTAAGGGGACGTCAAACATTTACATACACACATACCCCCCCTCACCCCAATCACGTAAGATACAGGACAGACGGAGCAACCTCCTCCACTCACCTTCGCCTCGTAAGCACCAAGCGCGGCCTAGCCGAGCATCGGACCCCGGCCTGGGCCACGCTCCTCCCGGGACTCTGCGCCGCCTCGGCCCCGCAGGCCGAGCAGCCCGAGCAGCCCCGGGCCCCGGGGCAGCGCTGCGCCTTGCGAGTGCCGTTGGGGGGCGCCGCGTCCCCACCGCCATCGGAGCGCCTCTTGGGGCCCCGGGAGCTGCTCCTCCACAGGCGCGAGTTCTCGCCGCCCATGGAGGGAACCCCGCGGCTTTAATTTTGGCTGCGGTGATGTGGCTAGGCGGGCTGTCTGGCCCGGTTCAGTTGAGTGGGTGGCGATGGTGTGGATGGGTTTGGTGGTTGGTTGATTGTTGTTGATGATGATGTTGTTTGTGGTTGTAGGGCTTGGCCGATCGTGTTGGTGGTGGTGGTTGTGTCCGTGGGTGGTTGTTTGTTGGCGTTGGTGGTCGTGACGTTGCCTTGTTTAATGAAGCCCTTTCCGGGACGCTCCGCCGACAGAGGGCGTTGTGTGTGCGTGTGGTGGGGGAGCGGTGGCGCAGCGGTTAGCGCGCCGCTGCGCGCCACGATTCAACGCTCACGACCACCAACACCGTTCGACGATTGACTTGAACAGGTCCCTGGGCCTCACCCTAGGCCGACTCGTGCGGGGGGGGGAGACAAAGGCGGCCGGGCGTGGTGCTGGCCACCCACCCCCTCGTGTACCTTACCGACCTTCACAGGTGCTACAGCACTTGCCACAACAATCTGTTAAGGCTATACGGTGGGGGGAGGGTGGTGGTGGTGGGTCTTTGCCTTTGCCTTTAGGATGGAGAGGGGGGTGGGTGGTTCCATTGGTGACCGATGCACCAAACTCACCGATCCTTCAACCGCGCGGCCGTGCGCTGACACGTGGCCGGTCGTCTCCTTGTCACTCCTCTGTCGCTACTGCAACGAAAGCTGCTTGCGTGAACGCCACTCATACGTTATGCGTCCGTTGTATTGAGGGGACCACTGCTGCGTGGTTGTTTTCTTGGTGTGGTCAGAGACTTACCCTTTGGTTCTATTGGGTAAAGTCACGTAGGTAAAAAATAAAATAACAAAAAATCACGACGTTTCGGCCACAACACAAGCGGCCTTCATCAGGTGAAGGGACGAGACTGTCTGGAGGACAGCGCTGGAGTGAAAAAAGCCACGCTCAGATCACGACCTTTAAGCTGTGTGAGAAGAAACAAAGCGCCTTGACAAAGGAATTAGCATATAATTTAGCATTGAAATGGCTGAGTGATTAGCTTGTGACTGGTCACAGAAATGGCTATGTTAAAGTTAAAGCATACACATCCGCAAAGGCACCCCTTGACTAAGGAATTAGCATAGAATTTAGCATTGAAATAGCTAAGTTAAAGTATATACATCCGCAGACGATCCATACTCTTTGCAGTCACGAAAGCTTTAAATCTAGAATTGATCAGGGACTGTTTCGTTGTTTGCATAAATAATGTATTCATACTCTTTGGTTCTATTCGGTAAAGTGACGTAGGTAAAAAAAGGACGCGACCTGGGCTTGGCTGATTTCGCTCCAACGCTGTCCTCTGGACAGTCCGGTCCCTTCACCTGATGAAGACTACTTGTGTTGTGGCCGAAACGTCGTGATTTATTTTTACCTACGTGACTTTACCGAATAGAACCAAAGAGTATGGATCCGTGCAGTCACGAAAGCTTCAAATCTAGAAAATAATGTACTATTTATAGGAGTGTAAAATAGATCAAATGTAAGCCACGTCACGAAATATACATAAATAAAGTAAGTCGCGAAATATACACAAGTAATAATGAATGATGTACGTATATTTCGTGACTTGCTTTTCATTTGATCTATTTTGCACCCCCATAGTTTTTTTTATAATATTTGTGCTGTTGTAATTTTGCTGACCCGCCCATACTGAACATCTGCTTTAAAAGAGACTTCATATCTCATTGGATTCCTCCAGTCTAAATAAAGATTCTGATTATGATCCACCCACGTTGAGGACTCGGTCTGCCAGGATGACTGTTTGATACTCTCCTAGCCATACTCACCCACCCTCCTCACCTACTCACTAGGCTGTCATCTCATTCATACTGTGTTCAATCATTACACTGCCGGCCAAAACACGTCTCTCTCTCTCTCTCCTTCCCTCGCACTGCGAGACTTTGAAATTCTCTGCCATAGTCTTCCAACGTTTTATTTGGTGCTGTTTGTTGCTTTTCACGTGGCTTTTTTGACCATGCAGCCTGTGTTCAGCAACCGTGATAATCAGTGGTTCTCAATAATTTTGGAATGGCGGGCCCTAATCAAGACCACTGGTCCCCGCACCTCCTACCAGGTCACCGAAGCTACAATACACACAGAGGTCACATGTCCACGCCTCTAGTCAATGCGGTGGTGTTAGTAAGGCATTTGTTTTGTGTTGCGTATTCGTGTTTTGTCGTCGCATTGCCGCTGACGTTTCATGCGGACATTGCAAAATTACCCTGCACGGTATCCATGCCGCAGCCTGTCACCCACCCCCTGAAAAGGTGCGACGCACGGATTGAGCACTGCTGTTTAAATGGCTTGTAAGCTTAAACCAGGGATGGGAAACCTTCAAGGCATGCTCTGCCGATGAGACTCAGAAAATTTAAATCTGCCCACGGTTCACCGCGTAAAAAAACTGCCGTTGCTTTACTAGATCTTAAAATTCGTGTTGGATTCTGTATTTTTTCACTTGGAAACTGATTTGATTGTGTTTTCTAATTCATGTTTTCATGTTCTCAATTTGTATTGCTCTAATTTTCATCCATATATACACATTTGAATAGTTTGTCTTTAATTTTTAAAGTATTATTCAAGGCCCCAGAAACCTCAAAGATATATTTCATTGTTTTCTCTTGGCTCTATTCATTTTGACGCGTGTCTTATTTTAAAGGGACTTACGCCTCACTGGCCTATTTTTTTTTACAGCTCGTCAATCCACTGCTGGATGAAGGCCCACCCACATCACATTGATTGTGGAGTTTTATTTGTCACCATGCTGGTCAGTGTGGGTTGGTAAAGTGGGGGGTGCGGGGGGGGGTTCATATATCCCTCGTCACCAATGTTAGCCGTGCACAGCAATCAAACTCTGGTCGCCTACACCTTATAGTGATCCATTACCCAATGGTCTTCCCCCAATGGATAACCGAGACACCACATTCAGTATAACTTTTGCTGTTGGTGTGGCTACTCGTCACGTGTCTAGTCAAGTCTCTCAGTGACCTGGAACATATTCAACGAGAAATTTAAGCTCTGGAAAATATTTTTTTTTATTTTCAGAGAATTTTACTTCTTCTTTGGTTCTTTCGGTAAAGTCACGTAGAATGAGAATAAAATAATAAATTAATAAAATAAAATTACAATAAAATTATCACGATGTTGTGTCCGAAACGTCGTGAGAATTTTATTGTGTTATTTTATTTTATTAATTTATTATTTTATTCTCATTCTATGTGACTTTACCGAAAGAACCAAAGAAGATGAATCCTTGCAGTCACGAAAGCTTTAAATCGAGAATTTTACTTATTTGTTACTACTGACTTTTGCACGTGTTTCTAAACTAAATACTGTACAACAATTGTTGAAGGGACTCGACTGGAAAACACATGTAGGCCTTTTCCGAGAGAAATAATTATCAAAGCTCGATAATACTAATGTCAATATAATACAAATGTTGATATAAAAAGGCAAATAAGCAGAGGATAACGTGCTTTTGGAAAACTGAATTTGATAATGAAAATAAAAGTACCAATGTGCCTGAAGGTGAACGTTTTCTATCAGTGCATATTACCCACTGACATTGATCAGAAACATGGATGTTGAAAGAGAAAATGTATGAAAATCTGGACGTTGCCCAATAGAGCATGGAGAGATAAGATGCTTGGAAATACAATGAGATACAGAAATAAGAACATGCACATTAGAGACACATTGACGTTTCAGGTAAGTAAATGGGCTTGTGTAGAACACATCTCTCGAAGGGATGATGGGCAATATAAAAGTCCGGTCATGGAATTTCAGTCAATAAACAATAATGTATCTGAGAGGATGACCACTGCAGAGAAAGAGTGTGCAGCAGTGAGATGGATTGTGGCATTGCCGTTTTGTGAGGCATGTCTATGGCGTGGGGAGGCTTTCATGTAGCAGTGGATTTATAATGGCTGGTGATGATGAACTTAAAAAAAGTAATATTTTGTTGCCATAAAATGGTGTTGCACTGGCTGGTCTATTCATAAGTTTAGTACAGTTCATATAGAGTATTCGATTATATTTTACTGTTTAATTCCTCAGCATACAAGGGCTTTTCTATTTCTACCATATGAGACCATAGATATAGATTTGTGTGGTTTTAAAAGTCAGTGTTACCTTCAAATATAATGGTGTGGCAATACACAATTGTCTCAGAAACGAATGCTTTCAGAGCAGCACAGCCTGGGTTGACCCAGTATTTTACCCGTTCGATCATGTTCAACAGGAAGTCAAAACAATCGGCTATTTACAAAGTGAGCATACCTGCTAAACTGCCATGGCCACATAAAAACGACAACACTCTTGTTTAAATAAAGTTCCCCATGTCAAAAGTGTGGGTATGCATGAAACTACGATATTAGTTTTATGGATAATGTTAATGTAAGACACAAAGGGGTAATGTGAAAATTGTGAAGCGGTTTTCAAAAACAATTGCATGTTTTTTATAGCAATTTTAACAATTTGGTTAATAACATGACTCAATATTCTTGGGGTCTTTCGGTAAAGTCATGTATATAGGTTCAAATAAATAACAAAAATAACAAAAAACTACGACGTTTCGATCGCAACTCAAGCAGTCGTGTTGCGATCGAAACGTCGTAGTTTTTTGATATTTTAGTTATTTCTTTGAACCTATCTACGTGACTTTACCGAAAGACTCAAAGAATATGAATTCCTGCAGTCACAAAAGCTTTCAGTCAACGTGACTTTATTTTCAAAGTGTCCTGATAAGGAACAGATTCCTAACCATCTTCCCTATGAGTTTTTGGGTTGTAACGTATATTCTGGTATAATCTGAAAACACAACAGAGACTTATGCAGTGGATTCCTAATCAGGGTTTCATAGTAATTACCTAAACTCTTAAAGGATTTAAATAACTTAACGCATTTGGAATATGTAAATCTTCAAGAAAAAAATACAGCCTATGTCTTCTTTGTACAGTTTAATTAACGAATGTGTTCATGATAACAGCCAAACATCACGTCAGAGACATGGAACTAATCCGAAAATGTCATTCCTCTATTTTTTTGATCCAAAAAATTGGTGCAACGATGTCTTGCCATGACCCACCCATCTCATTATATAGTGCATTATATTCTAAGTAAGTTAAACAAGTATGACACATCTTTATATAAGCATCACTGATACTTGATACTGTGCCATATGCTTTGCATGCTTTGGAATTTGTGAATATTTTACTTAATTGAGTTTCTCTCTTTGGACCTG